GTCTTTGCATTTAGATCGACAAGCCCATTTAAATTATTATCCAATACTTCAAACAAAGTGTTTGAACATGGTTTAACTCTCCATGACGTTGAATTCACAACACGTTTCATTATCTTTTTTTCAGTCCATGGTGTAACACGACGTTCCAATGTTCCTGTAAATTTAAATAAATAATACTTAGTAAAATATTTAAATTAAATATGATAAGTTACGAATTTAAAGAAATAATACCTGGATGGTTTCTTTTCTTGTAGTACCACTGTTGAATAGAGGCTTGAAAAAACTCCATTAACATAGTAATGGGTAATTTTCGGGAATGACGACTTAGAGCGTTGATTGATTTTGCACTATTAGACGTCATGAAACCATACCTTGCTCCAAGTTGATGTACTCTTGACCATCTTTCAAACCCGACATCTTCTAGTGTTTGAGCATATTGAGGTAAAACACGTCTTAAACAATTTATATGCTTATTAAAATACACTTCCCGATAAGCTTTTACAGCCTTCCAGTATGTCCATTTATGATTTTTTATACCAACAGACCTTGATTTTAGATTTATATACAAATGAACACCACAAAGTCCATGAAAAGTATATAGGAAACACCTTCTAACAACGTTGTCAATTGAGTTTGCCCTATCGGATATGATTGTCAGATTGCTAATAGAACCTATGCAATCCCTAAGATGCCCCATAAACCAAGTCCATGAATCAGAGGTTTCAAATTTGCCAACCCCGTAAGCTATTGGCAGTAACCCATTGTTACCATCCATGGCTACTGCTAATAAGTTTACTCCAAGGTATCGACCTTTCAAATGTGCTCCGTCAACTATAATAACTGGGCACATGCAAGTAATAAACGAACGAATCTAAAAAATAATATACACAAGAAATATAATCATTTAAATGTGAAATGCATGTAACTAACAAAAATGAGTCAACAAAATTATATTGATTTACTAACCGCAACACCAATGGCGATAAACAGCAACTCAAAGCGTCCATCTCTATCTGTTTTGATATGAGTTACTGTTGAAAACTTTTTTGATATTTCGATATAACAAATTAAGTTAAATGAATTTTAAGATTTTAAAAATGATGTTACAATTTTATATTCGATTCAATTAACCGAATATCAAATTATTACTCCAAGTTTTTTAAGATCAATTTTAAACCTTACTAAATGTGTAAAATTGTGATTTGTACTTAAACTATTTTTAAAACAATTTTCACAAAGTATTTTGAACCAAAATCAAAGCCTAAATTCAATTATTTGAGGTGATGCACCGATGCATCAACCATGCATCGATGCATTAGTGAATTAATTGAAACATCGAATGCATTCCATGCACCGATGCATTCTCCATGCATCGATGCACTCTGAATATTTTCAAAACATCGAATGCATTTGATGCATCGATGCACAAGCCATGCATCGATGCACGCAGGCTATTTTCAAACATCGAATGCATTTCACGTATCGATGCACACTTGGTGCACCGATGCATCAAGTGTTCCAACGGTCAAAATATTTGAATTTTACACTGATGCACCGATGCATCCTCCATCATGCATCGATGCATGAGACGCTCCACCCATAAAATTAATTGTTTTCACACAATAACGGCTCTATTGACTCCACTAATTATCACCAACGTTCAGAAGTGATTCAAGGTGTATTTAAACAAGTTCTGAAGCCCTTGATCAACAAGAAATTATATAGAAACAAGAGAGAAAGCATCAAACACCAAGTTTGTGCAAATCAAGCCAATTTTCCTTTCAATATTCATTTTGCTTTCAAGAACACCATTTGTGCTCATTTGTAATTATCTTTGAGTGTTCTTTTCTTGTTCTAGAATTGTGCAAACATCTTACCTTGTGAGGTTTTTCTTGTAAGTTTGCAAATTTGTAATCTTCTCTTTGGGAAAAAGAGTGTTCTCAAGAGTTGGGGTATACTCTTGAGGGATTTTGTAAGGTTATCTCTTTGGCCTCAAAAGAAAGAACAAATTAGTGAATTTGTTAGAAAATCCTTAGTGTGGATAGCTAAGGTAGTGGACGTAGACTTTGTTTGATAAAGTCGAACCACTGTAAATCGCTGTGCAATTACTTTCAATTTTCTGCAAAAGCTTCCACAAAATTTTTAATTGCCAATTCACCCCCCTCTTGGCCGATTCCGTCGATCGATTAACTCAACAGTTACCGACCTAGGATTTTTCAGCTTTAAATTGTGACAATAAGCCGGTAGTTGGGCAAACGATGCTTCTGGCGACCCCCTCAACAATTCCAAGGCATAACATTTGGCTCTCCAAGCTTGAGAATATGAGATACTAATATTGAACCGAGCATTCATGTCAGTCATAATTTCATGTCTCCGATATACCCTGTCATTCAAAAACATTAACTCAGCCATAAAACCACCCAACACCTTTTTGTTTGCCTGTCTATGGTGAGGAAAAACTTGGGTTCTTGAACATATTATTTATCAATAAAAGTCCTAACTTGAAATATTTCGCAATCTTTTATCCTCTTTGCAATCATACGCCACGTACAGTTTTTGTCAATCATACACTTTGTTTCTAAATGATCTTTGCTTGATTTGTTAACTTTTAGTTGATAGTCATCTTCCACACATTTCGTATACAAAGCTATCTTCAATTCTTCCTTTGTATCAAAACAATCATCTTTCTTGATAAGAATAACTTTTGTGTAACAATCAACTGTTATCTTTACCGACTCTTCTTCTGGTGTCTGAAGTAATTCTGGCATATTCCAGCTATACTCCCGTGGCATTTTCTTCTTTTTCTTTTCTCCGGGGACTTCTTCTTCTTTTTCTTATTCAGGGTTATATGAATTACAGAATGGATGTTTAACATATTCATTCACAGTCGTAACTTCCTCCTCATTATCATCAACAACATCTTCGGAGGCAGCGATTGTTTCATCATCAAAATTCGGGTATTGACCAATATCAAAATCATTACACGCATGGTCTGTTTCTTCTTCTGAAACATCATCAAAATCAGAGTATTGACCAAGATCAAAGTCCGAGTATTGACCAAGATAAAATTTTGAATACTGACTAGTACTCACAATTTTTTCTGTTGGCTCATCATCGTCTAACTGGTCAATACGAAAACCGGAATTTGGGTAGAACCATTAAATTTTGAGGTTGATAACAACATTGTACATTGTGAGCACCATAAACTGGGGTTGAAGCACTTAGTTGATTACTACCCGCTAGTGACCCAACTTCACTACTTCTAGATTCAACAACATACAATGTAACATCATATTACGAAACACTAATGTAAGCAATGAATCGTTCAACATCTTCATTGTCGGTTAACAAATAAACTTTACCTTTTCTCTGATAAGATAGCCTAAATCCACTTAGAGGCTCTAAATTCAATTTCTTTGCAACACGTAACATAAGAGTTTCATAAGTTAACTTTTTTAATGACAGTTTTAGTTGAAGATTCATGGGTAAAGACATATATTGTAAAACACCATGAACATTCTCTCATGACCCTCCAAAACACAAATCTATCCAAACATGATCAACATTAGGTGATTTCATTCTACAAATCACTAACTTCGAGAAAAACATACCTTTATTAAGTTGATAGTTGATAATTTGAGAGAGAATCATTGAAAAATTATATAGAAATAAAATTATGTAAAAAAAAATTAGAGATGGGGAAGGATGTCGTTGGATATTGGAACAGATGTCGCTGGAGAGAGTGATAGATGGAGATGGAATGAGTTGCGATTTAGGGATTTAGGTTATGAGTTGTTGCTGCTGCGTAGTTTATATACCCAAAAAATTTGTGTTGCGAAAATAAAAGTTGTTGCGAAATTAAAATTCGTGTTGCGAATTCGAAAATCGAGTTGCGAAATCAAAATTCGTGTTGCGATTTAGAAAATCTTGTTGCGAAAAGGAAACTTGTGTTATGAAAAATAAATTTGCGTTGCAAATTTGAAATTCCGTGTTGCGAATTTGACTTCTGTGTTACGATTTACAAATTCGCGTTACGATTTACATATTCGCGTTGCGAATTTAGAAAATCGCATTGCGAATTTGAAAAATCGCGTTGCAATTTTTGGAACCTGTGTTGCGAAATTGGAGTTCGCGTTGCGAATTTGTTGGTCATTTTCGCAAATCCAAAAAAAATTGATTAAAATCATATATTATAATGCATTTTCGGTCACTGAAATTATTTTCTCGAAAGGAAATTACTGGTTTTGTATCAGCCGATGGCTTGTATTAGTTTGCACCCGTCCGGTGTTCAAGTCAATAAAATGTTTTTTTTTCAATTTTGTTTTATAGTTACGGTATAATATACTTATTCTAAATTGATATGCCAGTTACTTATTATTGTTATAATATCATTACTTTTTTGTTATAGTGACAACATGATTAACTACGAGTAAATTTACATATCAATATAATGCTTAACGTTATGTAAATAAATTTTCACACCACTCTAATGACAACTAATGGTATTATCAATTTCTATCATAAAAGACCAAATAATGTCGAACTGAAGTAGGAATATTGAATTCTAAATTCCAGCATACTAGAGGGATTGAAACAACAATTAGACATACTTTTTGTTGTGCTATTTTATTTTTTAATAATTTAATTTCAAATTAAAAATTAATTAAATTAAGCCATTGAATGTAATTAATATTAATTTATTATATTTATACGACTATTCTCAGCTTTAAACTACTAGAAGTAACTAAGAATCAAGTACAGCTAAAAGAAATATCAGCAGTTACAACGGAATCCGAACTGTGTTTTTCCCTTCGTTGAAGGAGGCTACCGGTAAAATTCCTCCGTGGTCTCTCCGAAAAGGAATGAAAACAGATTTACAGAGGCAAAGAGAGGTCCTGACAATTTACAACTTCTCTGTTTACGAAAAGATCAGCACCCTTCTTCACCTTGATCCAGCTAAAGAAATTATTCCGAAAAAAAACATAGACAGCAGCCTGAAACCGAATATCGGCAATCAGGGTCGTAAAATGAACTCCACAACAAGTACTGATGTTTAAGCCATACCACTCACGTACCAGAAGCAGAATACAAATGAATAAAAGAAGTGCTGTAGAAGATAGAAGTTATAAGAGAAGAAATGCATCAGGTTCAGAAATGATAGTGACAACAAATTTTGGGACAAGTAGTTCTCCCAAGTTTTACTACTACAATGATTCAAGAGAGTGGTTAAACTTAGAAGGGCCTGGTCAGTTGACTAGACCCGGTGTAAACCAGGGGGATAAACATGAATCTAGTCCATAAAAATTGTTTTACCTAATCCAAGACCACCTTGTGATATTATATTAGAGAAGTAACTGTTTTCCTTGTTGCATATGACATAAAAAAAAATACCAAGTATTATTGTCATGTAGGACCCCAACGGCCGTGACAACCAAAATATTCAGGAACTGCTAAAGATAACTCATTTGTATCTCTATTCAATTCAATGTTTTCCTCATTTTTTACCATGGGACAGGAATGGGAGTTGCTAGAGCCATATTTTCTTCAAGGAAGCGACCAAATGTATCAGCAATAGCTAAAGACAAATCATTTGAGTAACCCTACTCCAATAATCAAGAAAGCACTTACCAACTAGTATTTAACCCTAGAATAATAAGTTCCATTTCAATAGCAGAATTACTACTCCGATGGAAATCAAGCACTAAATGATACTTAAAGAGAATCAGCAACAAGTAGAGCATTATTTAGAGAAGGTGTCATAACATCAGGCATGTCTGGACAAGAGAACACAAATAAATGAGACAACATAAGAGAAAATCTTAATGCACCATATGCATATCATGTTAGCGAACTAAAATGTCTATTTTAATGGAATATACGAGTAGCATGTAACATGAACATAAACAATGTTCCATAATCATTAAAAGAGGTGAACATGAACAACAGGTTAAAAGCTGAAAGTATAGAAGTAAAACCAGAGTAACAGCACTAAACTCTTAATCAAATGAAACCCTAGATAAACAAAAAATGAAACCAAATCAACATAAAAAATTGGATGCAAACTCACATGATATAGACTGTGAGCTCATAGCTCACTGTAATTGCGCCAAACTGCACGAAACTCCTCATGGAAAGTGTTAAGACGAGCCTTCAGGTTCGGTGTTCTAAAACTTGCATGAAGAAGAATGGCTGAAAAGAGAAAGAGTTTTAGATTTAACGACAAGCTTATGGTGGGAGATGAGGAAGAAAGACACGAGGGTGACTTACCGAGAAGTGCAACGGCAAGTGCCCATAGCACAGTCAAGAGACCACAGGATACATACCAGAGGATGAAACTTACTGTAACAAGAATGGTAAAATAAGTCGTCTTATACTCCATTCATCTGCAAATTAATTAACTCTGCTGTAATAAGTACAAGAACATTTCTCAAACATATTGATACCAGAAGAAAATATGATGACAAAAACCCAACGAGGCCGACCACATATGTGAACTATTCTTTTAGTTGATGGACGTCCACGAATAACAGACCTAGCAATAATGGAAAAGTTAATACCTAAGAACCAAAATCAAGAATATATACTCTGCAGACATTGTCAGAAGTAAATAAAACTTACGTAAGGGGAGGCCTCATCTTAGCTGCTAAATGTGGATAGAATTGCCTCACAGTTCTAGTCACCTTCTCACTAAAAGTACCAGCAAAACTATATGACAAACAATTATTAGCAACTATAAATGTGAAAACTAAATCTAAGCATAGCAAACTTCAATACTAGAGCATTAGAGTTCATCCATCCATTCAAAGGTAACATTCAAAACAACAACCGCAGTTACTTGAAATTCAGATACTTGTAACGTAGATTACCTATCGTTCAGAAAAGCTATGCTTAACACTGTTAAAATCGCAGCTAAAATGGAAACCGGCCTCCTCAAGAATCCCAAACCTGCAAAATCAAAGAAATTAGAAGGAAAAAGAAAATGTATCTAGTAAAATAAATTCGAGCCTGTGTACTTACCAACAACGAGAACAATCAGAATGAAATAATTGGTTCGATAACTGCAAGATAGAAAAGCAGAAAAATCAAGTGAGAAACTGAAAAAAAATAGCATTTGATCTACGATTCGCAGAACACACTCAAGATCAAAAATCAAAGAATTTTCTTGTTTTTGGAACAATTTCATTTGTTTTCTCGGTGACTAAACAGTACCGATCAATATTCAACCTGACTCAAATTCTAAGAAAAAAAAGAGAAAAATTACTAGTAGAGATTGCATTTAAAACGGCTGTGCCATTTGGCCGATGATCGAGGGACGGTGAACCGGGAGAAGAATTCGGAGAGAGGTCGTGGCGGTGATGACCAGTCAACTTCACGAAATGCATCGATCAGATCCTCGGCGGTTACTTTTCCCCAATCCATTGAATCTGATAATGTTTGATTCTGTTTATTTCAGTCGATGTAAAGCAATAATTTTGAAATGAAAATGGTACCGAAATGGAATTTAGCATGCAAGTGATATCGAGGTTGATGAAGTGAAGTGTTCTTGTTGGGAGCCTATTGATTGTTTTGGATTCCTAGTGAAAATTGTCCGGAACCAAGAAGTTTCGGAGCACAAATATATGCGGGTTGGGGAAGGGGAGTTCTCCCGTGAGGCGCGTAAAAAAGTAAACTAAGGTTAATTAAGGGTACGACCCATTAGACAGATGACTATGGTCTCACGAGAGACGTCTAAAGGTAAGATTCAAAACAGTTTTCAAAAAAATAAAATCTGAAAAATATTTTATAGAAATATAAATTATTTTTTAAAAAATATTTTTTAATATTTAAATAGTACATTATCTGAAAACAATTTTTAAAATATGTTTTTAATAAATAAGTTATACATATTAGATATATTTTATTATTTATTATTTATTATTTTTAAAGGTTTATTTTTTATATATAATTATATTTTATAAAAATATGTACTTTAGATAATATAAATAATTGATTAAAAATATATTATAAAAGTTTATGAAACCTAAGAATGTTTAATTGATAGTACACTAAATTAAAACAACAATAGTACATAACATGTAATAATAATAATAGTGTCAAAATATATAATTAAAGGGTTTATCACATTAAAACAACAATAATATCCAACCGTAATAATACATAGTCTAATTCATAATTAGTGCCACAACACATCAAATCAATAATACAAATATTAAAGTCTATATTTAGTACTACAACACATTAGAACTAAAACATTGTCTAAGCCATAAATAATAGTACATCATATTAAATTTCACATCTTAACTTTAGGTAAACTTTTGAAATCAAATTTTCCTATGCTTTATTTTTTTAGCCAAGAAAGCTTTGGCCTCAAGCTCATTCTTGGCTAGAAAATCGAAGACCTCATAAAGAAAGTTGTCACCAAATTAATCTTTCTCCATTTACATAACTTCTTCGTAAAGATATGATGTTTTATCATCGGTAAATTTTTTGAGTGCTTCAGCAATTTCACCAAGTTTCTCACCTACAAATTGAATATAATGATCCTCGACGTTTTCTTGAACATTCTTCATTTTACGTTTTGATGAACCATATGAAGATACATTTGTTTTTTCCTCATCTACATGTTGAGTGTCGAAATTTAACGACATTGATCCTTCATTAATATCATCCAAGTCTATATTGGCAAAAGTTTTAGCAAAAGCTCTTGACTAACAACAAGAGTCATCTCGTCATAAGAATCAATTTTTTTTTCAAAAATTGATCATATTTCAAGTGTGCCTGTTAAATATTATACACAATTAGAATAGAAAGTAAAATTTAACTTTCAAGTAAAAATTAGTATATAGAAATTATCGTCACTATAGCGTCATATGTCACTCCGTCAAAGGTTATCATTTTCATGTTGTCGTCCCATCCTAATCCACTTTTTTCACGAATTGTACATATTGTTTTCCATGTATTTTTTACAGTCCTCAAATGATTTTCTATTTGTTTAGCGTCACATTGGACTTCAAATTTTTTGAAAATAGATGTTGCAACTCACTTTATAGAAACTGATTTAAAGGTATTAGATGGTTTATTACCTTTTTGCACCTCCTCTGCAAGTATTTTGAGGAAATGACGTTTCATTGGTTTTGTCCACCTAAATTTTTTTATGTGCTCATTGCTAATAATCATATAAATAAAAAGCAATTAGACAATGAAACACAAAATTTTAAAACTTACAATAATAATGATTAATTTCAAACATAACTGGAAACATAACATTAACAATTTCATAGTCCAACAAACTTAAAACATAACATTTATAATACCAACAATCTAAAAATAAAAATGTCAACGTCCATAAAATTAAATTTCAATGTTATACGAACTTAAATCAGTAGCAAGTTCAATATCCAACAAACTAAAAACAACAATATCTATCATACGTAACATACAAATACTAAAAACATTCAACAAAATTACATATTTCTAATTATATAATAACTCCACATAGCTTCTGCAATTTCATCTCTTTTAGTAGCCCATTATCTAGCTTCTTCTCTCTCTTCTCGTTGTGTAAGCATTGATGTTATCGAATAAGGCTCAGGTTCCTCATACAATCTTTCATTAATTATATCATTAGGATCAACTCCCATTATATGGTTATGAATAATAGTACAAGCCAATACTATGTCTATTTGTGTTTGAAAATCCCAAAATGGTTCAACATCTAACACACGAAAATGTTTCTTTAAAATTTCAAACATTCGCTCAACAATTGTTCGTAATGATAAATGACGAAGATTAAAAAGTTCCTTTGCATTTTCTGGACGATGATTACTGAACTCTTTTAAATGATATCGAACACCACGATATGTAGAGATAATTCCATTTCGGATACCATATCCAACATCAGCAAGATAATATTTGTAACACCCCCAACCCGTATCAGATCCAGATCCGAGTCCGAGATGTCACATTGACTTTTCAAACTTTGACTCTTAAAGAAAATCATGAAAATTTTAAACTTTCATTAAAATAAAAGATGTTAATCCACACAAGTTGGACCAAAATAAACAAAATTAATCAGAGCATTAGCATTTCACAATTTTTTTACATGCCAACACACTATATACAACCAAATATCTACACTTAACTACAATTCTGATCTGATCTGTGAAAAGGAGAGTCTGACCTGTCTTGCTCCTCTTCACTTCTCCTCTCGCTTTTCAGAACCTACATGTGAAACACTCACACGCTAAGTCGATGACTTAGTGAGTCAAATAAACATATAATGTAAACTATAACTTGTAATCATGCATAATAATTACTAATATTATATCATACCACTCATATCCTTATTTATGTAACAAATACATTACATACATACATACATATATATATATATATATATATATATATATATATATATATATATATATATATATATCATTATCATTCATATCTTTTATTCTCTATTCATATAATCTCTCATGTTCATATCATATATCTTAACAGGTACTCATTTATATCATATAACATATACAATCAAGCAACTATATCATCATATTCATTTTTATCACTATCATAGATTCCTTTTATCATATGATCTTATAATTACCATTTATACAATCATATATCACACATAACATTTCACAAGGAAACAAACACATTATCATATCAAGTTCATTTATATTATCTCTTTATTAGCCATGTATACATGTGAGAACTAAATATATGCGAGTACATAGAGGTTGTGCACTATGCTATCACCACAACTCGTATAATTCCCTCAAGGGGCACTGAATATTTGTCCCGAAGGACCACTATGTCCCGAAGGACCACTGATTGTTTTGAAGGACCACTGTTTGTCCCGAAGGACCACTGATAATCCCTCGACTCTTGGCATGCCAACTATACCCCTAGCTCTCATATCACATAACATGGGCATTATCTTTTATACCATTACACATATTCACATAGCCACATAGCTTTTCACATAACATTTCCATTTGCACATGTAATTACTTAACTTATTTCACATAGCTCATGTTCCATATTCATATCTCATAAGTACGTAGCTCATATTACTTATATTCACATATACATTCACATTACCAATTCACATAAGTTCATGTATTCACATGGATTATTTCTTATAGCATATCATATAGCTTCTATTCTTTCTCACGTAGTCACATAGATCCATGGCATATAACATATATCAAAATTGCATATAATCACGTAGATCATTTCTTAGATGTTCATGTAAACCTAAATATCATATCTTGTTCACATATAATCATATATACTTCATATAATACATAGAAACACTTAGAACACTTCCACTTAGCTTATATAAATTTTCAGAGTCCTTTCATATTACTTGACAACATATATCATATATGTATATAATAACTTATGTCATATCATCTACTTTATGCTTCACTTCTTTGTATTCCCTTAGATTACATAAACTATGTTGTATTTCTAAACATATATCATTTAATAGTATTTTATTTATATATTAGTTTAATCTATTTACTTAATTCAATTTCATATATTCATTATAACATTTTCATATAGCTCCATAAATCTTTAGCATATAACTTATCTTATATATTCGTATCATCCTTTTTATATTCAAGTTTCCCAATTAATATACTATTCCCATTTCATTCTATAATTCAATCTTATTTAGTTCCCTTAACTCTCATTAAATCAAAAAGCTCTATTATACTAATTCTCATAATAGATCATACCACTATGTACTTGTCCAACTCATGTTTCTATAAAGCATATATTGTTACACATGTTTACCTAGTTCCTATTACTTCTCATGAACTCACTTTCATCATATTTTCCTATTATTACATATTTTATCTCATAACCATGTATTTACATAGTCTTATATTTCATTATCATATGAATTATATTTGTTCTCCTATAACTCTTCATAGACATCTATTTCCATTTCCATATATCACTTGACTTATCTTCTATATTCCTATAATTTCATAACTTATTTTATATTTTCTCATTAACTCTTAATAGTGTTTTTACGTAAACCACATAGCACATACAAAAACATATCAATTCATATAATCAAACATACATACGCTTCATGTTGTTAACATACTTATGATCAAGACTTAATGAGCTATTACTATAGAAAATAGACTTATCACAAGTCCAATTTCCATAAAATCTTATAAACATAAAATGCACTCACCTTGGCCTCACTACATTCCAAGCCACTTACGATTTCCTCTCTTTCGATCAAATCTTAACTTGATAATCATTCTGGAACTTGTTCATGTTCGATATCTACATAATCACACATTGATACATATCAATATCCAATTGATATACTCTAATCTATCATTTCTTAGACCAAAAGAAAGGTTTATTTATATTTCCCCTTTGAAGTGCATCAATACATTTTACAGTGCATCGATGTATTCTTTAACATGTGCATCGATGCACTACCCATGCATCGATACACAAATCACCTTCGATGTTTTCATTTTAAGGGGGTGCATCGATGCACTCCTTATGCATCGATGCACTAATTGCATTCGATGTTCATTTATTTGA